AGGGCCTGCAGCAGGGATGTGTCACAGAAGCTCAGGCTCGGGTATTTCTTCGCGGCCTGGGAGATCAGGACTGGACTTTATCAGCGGATGCTGCTGTGGAGCGAGTGTTTTCCTTGCGCACGTAGCATCTCTTGACTCCTTTGGGGTGGGATAATGAGCCGTGGTCTGTTGGAGCTGCTTGGAGCAAGGGGTCGTTTTGTTTTCCTGCTGCGTGCGCGGTCCGTGCAGTGACGCTCGCTCCTATGAACTCCACGTAGTGCAGGGATGGAAGTGTAAAAGCACCCATGGGTGACAGGGTGACCATGAGCCAGCAGTGTGCCCTGGGTGCCAAGAAGGCCAATGGCATCCTGGGGTGCATCAAGAGGAGTGTGGCCAGCAGGTTGAGGGAGGTTCTCCTTCCCCTCTACTCTGCCCTAGTGAGGCCCCATCTGCAGTACTATGTCTAGTTCTGGGCTCCCCAGTTCAAGAAAGATGAGGAGCTACTGGGGAGAGTCCAGCAGAGGGCTGCGAGGATGGTGAGGGGACTGGAGCATCTCTCCTACGAGGAGAGGCTGAGGGAGCTGGGCTTGTTCAGCCTGGAGAAGAGAAGGCTGAGAGGGGACCTTATAAATGCCTCTAAATATCTGCAGGGTGGGTGTCAGGAGGATGGGGCCAGACTCTTTCCAGTGGTGCCCAGCGACAGGACAAGGGGCAACGGGCACAAACAGGAGCAGAGGAAGCTCCAGCTGAACATGAGGAAGAACTTCTTCCCTCTGAGGGTGACGGAGCCCTGGCCCAGGCTGCCTGAAGGGGCTGTGGAGTCTCCTTCTCTGGAGATATTCAAGACCTGCCTGGACAAGGTCCTGTGCAGCCTGCTCTGGGTGACCCTGCTTCGGCAGGGGGTTGGACTGGGTGACCCACAGAGGTCCCTTCCAACCCCAACCATTCTGTGAGGCTGGAAAAAAGAGACATGGGGGGAAGGCAGGTCCCATCATCCCTGCTTATTCCCAGGCAGGCGAGAGAGGGGTGAAGCCCCTCGCCACTTCACCTTGGCCCTCTCCCGGCAGGGTGGACGCCCGCAAGAAGCACTTAATCCTCAAGTCGTGCCAAGGAGCCGGTCTCGTCGAGGTGCTGCACTACCACGCCTGCGACGCCGGGTCGTCCCCCAGATCCGAGTGCGTCAGGTGCTTGTTGAACCTGCAGGTGCAGCACGCCAGCGCCCGCTTCGCCGTGTATCTCACAGGTAAGGACGGGCTCGGGGCGCTGCCCCGCGCCGCTGCCCTCGACCCCACGACCAAAGTCTTAAGCGGGGCTGGGAGGCGATGGAGGAGGGACAAAAAACACCCCCTTTTGCTCCCATTTCTGCCAGTCATGCATAAGGTGGGAGCTGATTCAATGAGGTAAAAATCAAAATGAACAGATTTGTGGAGGTCTGCTAAATTCTGGACGTTTTTCGAGCCTGCGGCTGGCGTTGCATCACGCTCTGATTCTGGCCTCGTGGGGCCGAGGCTGGTTGCAGAGCGGCGCCGTTAATCTGACGTTTGCGAAACGGAACAACTGCAGTGGGATCCGGGGATATTTTCCGTAGCTCTCGGAACAGCCTCCTGCGCTTGTTTGACTGCTCCTCCCTTTGCAGAGAAGCCCGGCAGCAGCAGGGAGGTCCTTGAAAGCAAAGGAATCCTCGTGGCCGACGTCGCGACCTTCCTGGGGACGGTGCAGAAAGCGGCTGCCCCGTTTAGAAGAAGCTACTGGTAAGGGGGGGGAGGTCAGGATTGTCCCCTTCTTCCCCAAAAGTCTGGGAGCAGCTGCTGGGTTGGTGGCACTGGAGTCCGGCTGGAGGATCTGCTCCCGCTTTTAGAAGAAGCTACTGGTAAGGGGGGGGAGGTCAGGATTGTCCCCTTCTTCCCCAAAAGTCTGGGAGCAGCTGCTGGGTTGGTGGCACTGGAGTCCGGCTGGAGGATCTGCTCCCGCTCTGGGGACCTAATATATACTTACAAATATCTGCAGGGTGGGTGTCAGGAGAACGGGGCCAAGCTCTTTCCAGTGGTGCCCAGCAACAGGACAAGGGGCAATGGGCACAAACTGA